GCCAGTGAAGCTGACGGAGGACTGGAGTCATGTGAACAGAACGCCCAGTCCCCGTCAGCAGCCTGGCAGCTCTATTTTGCACCAATTGACGTATCCGGACCGTCTTCAAGGGCAGCCCCATGTAGAGCGCGTTACAGAAGTCAGGGCGGGAAGTCACCAGCGTGTATGTCACTGTCGCCAGGCAGTCGTTCTCCAGGTAGGGGCGCAGCCGATGGATCAGCTGGAGCTGGAGGAAAGCGCTCTTCGCCACTGCTGTCACCTGAGCTTCCAGCAAAAGCTGTGGGTCGAGGGGCACTCCCAGGCTGCGGACCCTGTCCCTCAGAGGGAGTGCAGTCCCATTCAGGACTAGGTCCAGGTCCCCTCCCGGAGGCCCAACCCACCCACCAACAGGGCCTCCGTCTTGTCTGGACTGAGCTTCAGTTTGTTCCAAAGGGATGCTGCATTTCTGCTGCATGAATTTGATTTCAGGCTCTGCAGATTTCCTAGTTTATGCAAGTCTCTATAACTGAGGATCACAAGCTGCTCTTATTAAGCTGTGTTTATTTAGCTTAGCAAATTCTAGCAGGTGTCCCTGACCTGGCACCCTCTGGATGTTTTACATGCTGACTCTCGTAAGCCTCAAGCAGCAGGGCCACTGGTGAGGAATCCTGGGAATCGGCAGCCTAAAATTTCCGGAAGGCATCAGACTGGGGAACCATATAGCATAGCCAGGGAAGGCTAGTTCACCCCAGCTCAGCTTTTTTGTAAGGCTTGCCCTAATTGGTTCACATTGAAGTTTGAATTGAAATAGTCACAGACCTTACTTTTTGCATTTCAGTGCCATTTGATCCCATCCATGCAGCACTTGAAGGACACACATGTATGCACGTTTAAGATAATAAAATCTACAATTTATGCATATTTAGATAATGAAATCTACAATTCCCAACATGCCCCAGAAAGCATGGACATACTGAGAGCTGTAGAAGAGTTTTGCACAACTTTATTATGTTTCAGAAAAGTGATATTCAGATGGAGACATTTGGAACTGCAAAGGGGTGCCTTTTGAAGCTCCTGCAGCTTAGCCCAACCCAAGGCCTAATCCTCACCTGAGGCTATTGTCCTGGTTTGCAAGAAAGCCTCAGACTGCCTTGGGCAGAGGGGGAGTTGCGTCAGCTTTTCTGTAGTATTTCTTGTTTCAAATCCTCTCCAGCCCAGTGTGGATTTCAGAAAAATGTAACAGCCTCTCTCTGACTGTACGCACAATCAGAGAGTAACAGGCCGTGCCAGGGCCCTCTTCCTACATGGTGAACTTTTGGGCTTGCATCTGCCAAGGAAGCCTGATAAGGCCGCCTGCCATGCCCACAAGAGAGTGGAAGCAAAGCTCTCCGAGAAGGCTCTTGGCAGAGCTGTTCTAAAATCCCATCTCATAGGAAGAACACAGAACACGTGCCGTCATAAAGGGCCGGGAAATTTTCCATCTCTTTCCTTTGTCAGTGGCTTTCCCTGCCTCAGGCTGAGGTCCTGCCACCTGATGCTTTCTTCACTGGGGATCCCAAGGACTGAGGTGGCACCCTCTGCATGCCAAACAGCTCTCCCCACACCCTGCATCAACACCCAGCATATGACAGCATTTGAGGGACTCCATAAACCCAAAGCATCCTGCATTGCCAAGACATCCCCTCTCCAAGCGCCTAGGGGCTCCTCTCACCTTGTGGGAGTTCCTGCCCCATTACCGGGTCACTGCCACCCTAGCGAGATATGCCCTCAAGCAGGAAGGGAGGGGGAAAGTGGCAGCTGCAGCATCGCCACCAGGGGGCAATGCTGGGGGTGGCTGGCACTGAGGTTTCCCAAGCCATCAAGGGACTCAATATTACTGGTGATGATGATAATGATGATAGAATCTCCAGATGGGTATAGTTAGAGTCCTTCCAACTTCATGATATATTGCAGCAGACTGCAGGCACCTAGAATTAGATCTAAAGTTCAGGGAAGAAGAGCACAAATACATACAATAAGGGAAAGGGTGAGTACAGAATTCAATCATAAAGAACGGAATACAGATCACAGCAATGCCAGAATAAACCAGTGCATCCAGTAGCTGAATAAATACAGTTTCAGCAAGTTAGGGACACATACCTGTCCGCCTTCTTTCCCCCATTCCTTCAGAAAACAGAATCCCCTTAGGGGACAATCCTATTCAGTTTCAGATGGGGTGGGAGAGTCCAACAACTCTCAGTCTTTCCCAGCTTGGGAGCTGGAGGGCTTTATTCAGCCTGAATCCATACAGGATTGTGTGCTTAGTCACTCATCAGCCTCAGCTAAGCCTGACACACCATAGATTTTTGCCTTTTTTGAGGAATGGATGCTTCTTCCAGTAACAATAACAGCTTCTCCCTGAGCTAGATGTTTTCCTCTTGATCTTCCATTTATCTCCCATGCTCTTCTGTTCTTTTCTTTGTCTCATGAAGCATTTCTTTCACTTCCCTGTCAGCCATGACTGTCTTGCTCCTGCCATTCCTCTTCCCACCCTTCCTCCACATCGGTGGCCAACCTTCCTTTCCCAATGATCTGCTCTTCACCAAATCTGTTCAGTCATTTCAGCTCTTTTTACTTTATGAAGAGAAGCATGCGAAAGTTGCTTTCCTCAGGCTGCAGGCGGAAGAGGTGCTGCCTCAGCCTCATTTTGCAGCAGGCACAGACCTGGCTTTTGCTCTCTCCTCCCACACACACCCTTCCTATGCAAATAGCGCCAGCTCAGGAACAGGCAACATGGTTGCTTCCATCACCTCCCTTCTGGCCTTCAGAGACAGTGGCCTGCCAGCGGCCACAGAGTGAGTTCAAGGCTTTGGCAAGAACTGGACCGGACCTTTGCCAATGCGAAGTTCATTCTCTCAAGCAGTGGTATCCCAGGTGTGTGCCCATTAGGTCAAAGTATTTCAGCATGAGTATTTGGGGGCTAGAAAATCAGTTGCTCTCTCTCTACACACACACAGACCCCCTTGAATTTACAAGCACCAAGCAGGGCTGCCATTGGATAGCACATTTTGGAGGGGTTACATTCATAGGGTTGCCATAAGTCGGAGAAGAGTTGGTGGCACATGTGTATGCATGTGCGCATGCACACACATCCTGCATCATTTCACTGATAAAACTAGGGGGATGCTTACCATGCCTCTATTGAATTTGGGAACGGGATATAGGAAAGGTACCTCCTCCCGTATGATTCTGCCTGACCTCACCGGGTAGCACCACTGTTTCCCTTAGAGCGTGTCCAGGCACCATCTGAATTCTGGCTGCTTGCAGCACGGGAGAGAGCCTTTGTAGTTGTGGCACCTGGACTGCTGAATGTCTCCCCCTAAGGAGGCCTGGGTGACCCTCCATATTATGGTTTTTGGACGTATCGCAAAGACTACAAAGCTTCACCAAACGTTGGGCATCACCTGGCTTTTGTCCCACTGCTTGGTTATGGTTTTTTCCCCTGGCTCTGACTTTACTGTTTTATGTATTCTATTGCAACATCATAATTGCATTCTTTTATTTTATGACTGTGATCTGTCTTGGGCCCTTTGGGGAGGGCTGAAAGAAAGGGCAGAATGTGTATGGCATTATAAATTTGTTAGTCTTTAAGGTGCCAAAGGGCTCTTTGTTGTTTTTGCTGCAACAGACAATGAGGGCTGCTGCCTCTGGAAGCAGGAGGAGAATTCCTAGAGAATTCCATTGCCTCCCGCTCTGCGCTGCAACAACCTGCTGTCCATTCGCTTGTTCTTTCATTTACAAGACAGCCACTTACAGCAGAACAATTGTGCTACAATGGAGTGCCTGGCGCTTCAAAATATGCCTCAAGAGATAGGCAAGCTGTGTTACCTGGTGCCCTGTAATACTACACTATCCATGTCTGCTTGCATTGAGTTTGATGGGGCTTACTCTGGAGAAATGCATGCAGCATTGGGATCCATGGGCTAGAGATCAAGCACAAGCGCCCATCCACTTAGAGGTTAAATAGGGAGGGAAGAGAGAACCTTGAAGGAGTACAAGGTTGATAATCAATGCTAGCAAACCTTTAACAAGACACTCCCAAAAGACAAGAGGGCAAAAGATCAGAGGGCTGGGTAGGCAACTGGGTGCCCTCGAGTTGTTTTGGATTACAGCTTCCATGAGCCTCACCCGGCATGATAAATGGTCAGGAATGCTAGGATCTGAAGTCCATCTGGAGGGCACCAGGTTGCAAATCCCTGATGTCAGAAATCCGCAAATGGGGCAGTTGGAGCATAGAAATAGAAGCAGGGTGGAGAGCTAGGAGAGAGAAAGAAAATATTTATTACAAAGCAAAGGCAGGGTCAGAGGCAGAGGAGAGTCAAACAGGCCTCCTTTCCTTCAAATGCTTGCATGGCAGGCAGAAATGCAACAGATGCAGCACTTTCCGTCCCTCCAGTGTGGTGTCGGCCTGGGAGATCTGGGTTCTAGTCCCCACTTGGCCACGAGGCTCCCTGGCTGACTTTGGACCTGTCACACACTCTCAGCGCAGCCTACTTCATCAGGCTGTTGTGACGACAAAATGCAGAGCAGGAGCGGGAGGATTCCTTGCAGGAAAAAAGCCAGGATATCAATATGATACACACACGCACACCTCCATAAGTACCGAAATGCACCACTCTTCAGGGCTAAATAGCGAGATGCTATCTGGAAAGGCACCCTTGCTTCAAGGCAAGAGAGAACCGCATTTTGGGGAGTGGGTGGGTGGGCAGAGCAGATCGAGCGGGCCTTCCTTCAGGCGGCTTCCCAAGCCGGCGGGGGCCGCAGCCCGCACGTCGCCTCTTCTCCCCTGCAAAGGCAACGCGAGGCGGCCGACCTGATGCGGCCGTGCCCTTCCCTGCGGCGGCGAAACCTGTTCCTCCTCACCTGCCCGCACCGGCTTGGGTGTGGCCTGCGGGCTCCGGCTGAGCCGCGCAGGGGAGGGACTCCCCCCCCCTTTCCGGGTCGGCTCCTTCCCCTCTCCTCCCGCGCCGCTTGCCTGCACTGCACTGGCTTGAGACCCGGTGAGTAGAAGGGCTCCTGGGTGGAAGGGCTCCGCTCAGGCCTGGCGCTCGCTGCGCGGGGAAGAGCCGGGCTGCACGGTGGGGCAGCTGCTCGCCCGCTCGCCCGCCTGCTCAGTTTGCCCGGGCTCGCTCGCCAGGGCTTGCGGCCGCTCCCTTTGGAACTAGACGCGTGAAGGAGCGCTGGGCCTCGTGCTTGCTGGCCCAGGGCTTTGCGAAGAGGAGCCCGGGGATCACCCTTCCAGATCCGGCTGACGCGGTCCCCAACAGGCGCGCCTGAGCGAACGCGGCTTCAAGACAGGGCAGCGCTTCAGCCCGCGAAGGAAGGACGTGGAGCTCCTCAAAGGCTCGTCCAGAACCGCGCACGTTCCCAGTGCCGAGGCCCCTTTCAGTGGCTTTCCAAACTTGTTTACAGCTGGGCTTTTGCAGGGATGGTCTCCGCTTATCTCAGCGCTGAGGCAGGCCTGCCTGTTGGCGTGCCCTGGGGCGCTGAGCTCAAGGGGGCTGGTGGGCATGGGGTGGCGAAAGGTAGTCTGGTGCCTTTGCCAAGCACCCTCTTTAGGCCACATAGGTCGGAGGTGGTGGCAGCCCCCTTGGTGGAAAGGCCGGTCTTGGGGGAGCAGCTGCTGTGAGCCGGGCGACCTGCCATCTTGAGCGTGGGCCCATCCAGATGTTCCGACACACTGGCGGTCGAGATGCAGGCCTTTCCCCACTTCTGTGCTGGGGCTGGAAGAGACTGCAGTGAGGCATGCTTTGGACTGGTACAGCAAAACAGTCCCTGGGAGGCCAGGGTGCTGGCCCGGAGGGCTCAGCTCCATCCCCACATCGAGGGGGTGAAGACGAATCCTCTGTTTGCTGTTAGTCGCCACTTAAAATGGCTGTGTTTAATTTGATTCTGGGAAATGCCCGTCAGACTGGAATAATGCCGGGTCTCCTTATTTGTGATGCTGAGTTAGGGACACATGAGTGAAAATTCCCTTTGGGCAGTGAAAATCTGACAGTTTTTCCCAGTTTGGAGGATCGGGTTTCATCTCTCCTGGCACTGGTGTTGATTTGAATTGTAGCAGGTTGAACCAATATGTAGCTTCTCTGTTTTAAATGGTGGCACTTTGTGCAACAGTTTATTTATTTTGGGGTGCAGAACTTGAAATGGGGTTCTAATTTTTTTAAAGAAAAAAAGTATTGGGCATCACCAGTCACAAGTCTTTCTGCCCAGTATGTAACTCACACAGGCATTTATTTATTTTTTTAAAGCTTTTATAGCCCGCCCCTTACTAATGTCTCGGGATGGTTTACAAGCTCAGATAAAAAAAGGCTCAGCATCCAGCAATTCACAATAAAAATACAGTTGAAACCAATTAAACATTAAAATAATGGAAGAATAAAAAGGTTAAAATAAAAAGAATTAAATTAAATTAATGGGAGAATTCAGAGGACTAAAACAAGCGTGCCTGCCTCTTGTAAATAGCCTTGCCGATTTTATTCTCTCCATGCACAACTTTGTTTAGTTGAGCAGAGCCGTGTTCTGTACTTGTCAAGGAACCCTTTGAGAAATTGAGGAAGAAGATGAGCAATTCTTTAACAAGTAGAGGGGGGTTGCTCTAGGCCAGGGGTCCGCAAACTTTAACACTCAGCCAGTTGGACCCGTTTCCCACACAAAAGAAAACACCGGGAGCCGCAAAACCCTTTTGACATCTAAAATGAAGATAACACTGCATATATCGTTTTTTACCTTAATGCTATGTATGTCTTCATTATAATTTAGCTGCAGCTCTTGTTCAGTCACTAAAAACTGTTATTTTTAATCTTACATTGTAAACTAGTAGGACTCCTTTCATTTATTTTGAATAGGAGAACAGCTTCCTGAAGATTCAGTCAGTGCTAAAGGGCTGCATGCATTAAACAGCGAACCCCGTAAGTTTGTCAGCAGTAAAAGTAAATGAATCTACCCACGTATCATTAAACGTTTTGGTTTTCTTCAGAAACTTTTCTTCGATTTATCCATGGCTGGCCTACCGGGGGAAGTCGCAGATATAGGTGTGTTTAGTGACTGATTAGCAGATAAACAGTCAAGTGATGGGAATTGTGACAGGTCCCAAGCACAGCTTTTATCATTCAGAGGAAGGAGATTACATTTGGACACAGAGAATCTTTTCAGCAGCATTTCGTGTAACATGAGAGCCTGCAGGAAGCTCGTTCCACTCTCCCTGCAATGTCGCAATTTACTTAACCTGCTAGCCCAGCTTTCCTGACTGGATGCCTCATCATCACCTATTGGTATTTTGTAACTCGGAGCCTCGGTCGCAGATCGGGCGGCTGTGCAGCAGAGGGATTTAAGAGCCACGGGCGCTTCCAGAGCCACGGGTTGCCGATCCCTGCTCTAGGCCAAAGCAAGGAAGGTTTGGAGATGATGAAGATGACTAGGGCAATCTATACATAGACAGATTTGCAGTTATGCAAGATTAGCAATACAACTTTTTAAAAAAAATCATGGCATTTGCACAAATTTCAAGTCCCATCCCTAAATTTGCACTTATTAATATTTGTGCAAATGGTGGAACTTGTGCGGGGGTGGGGGAAAACTTGTGCAAAACTTTTCTGAAGTCTGGGAAAAAATCTGCTGCAGTCTGTCACTACACTGTGGCATCTCGCCAGGCTTAAATGGAACTTCATTCCCAGCATTGCACAGTCCTGTACATACAGCGAAAATGTCTGTTTTCTTAGCCAGTGGGCCATGCTGATGCGGAATCTCACTGTCTGAAAGGTGGTTAAATGAGCATCAGGAGCACTTACTGGATAGCGCCTGTGTCAAGAGCAACACAGTGTCTTATCTTGGGACATCAGTGCTCAGCTGGAAAACATGGGCTGGGAAGGGAGCTGAAATTGTAGGACACAGTGCAGAAAAGCCCCCGTCCATTTCTCTCTCACTCTGCTAGTTGATGTATGAATGTCCAATGCTACAGATTCAGTCTGGTTTCAGACTGAGCTTGTACACAGCCTCCTTAAAAGAACTTAAATGAACTTTGGAACTTGGAAAAGTCAATCTGTCATTATGTGTTTTTTGTCCCCGAAATCCTAGGGATAACTTGAAAATGACACGACAGCTGTATCCATTTAATTCTCCCATTTGTAAGACTCTGAATCTTCAACTGCATGACGTTGAGTCAGCCTCTCTTCTTTCACCACTCATCCTGACTGTTGCAAGCTGATTTTTTAAATTATTTTTATTGGTGCCATTCTTGCCCACAGTTTTGAGTATTTTTGGCTGGTCCTGATAAACACTGCATGACTGTGGATTTTGGAAAACATTTTTCACAGAGGTGGGATCTGTGGGTGGCGGGGGATGGATTTAAATTTCAATGCAGATAATGTGTCAGGCAGAGCAAAGGGCTTTCAGACTCTGAGACTGTGGCACAATTTACACATTGCCTCTGTAGTGGAGCTGGTGACTCAAAAAACCCTAGATCAGTGCTAGGCTCCTGCATTGCACCAATGCCAGATGACGCTGATCCCTTTGTCCGAATGCAAACAATTCCTCCCCAGTGGTGATAGCTGGGAGAGGTAATAGCAGTCTGCTGTCAGAGCTGGTTTTAGGCCCATGCAAGAGCCATTACTGAGCAGCCACTCTGGGTTAGGCCTGGCCAGGCTGTCTGGGCAGCTTCTGCCTAGTCAAGTGTGGTTTCTTAGAGGCGGTTAGGGTGGCAGCCGCCTCAGATGTGTGGAACGTAGGACTCGAAGCTCAGCCTTTGAAGGGTGCAATCCTTTGCATGTTTCCACAAAAGAAAGGCCTAGTCAGCATGCTGGGAGCTGCAGGAATTTTAGTTTGACTGAATAAATTCATAGGATCATGCCCTAAACCCTCCAGCCTCCTGCATGAGGACTGGTTAACTTGCATTTTCAGGCCACGGATTGCAAAATTAAGATGGAATATCCTTCGGGAAGTCTTTTTTTAAAATCAGTGCACAGAAGAGCAATGCAAATGACAGAAATTATTTAATCCAAAAGTCACAGTTTGGTAATAGCTTTATCAGGACAAATGAAGATGAGAGGAAATGTTTGATCCCTCCAACACTTTTTTTTCAGACTGGCTGCTAAACAAAACAAAACAGGGAAGGATACAGAGGACAGCAATTAGAGCTTGATGTTAAAGTTTACAGTTTGCTGTGATAGGTGTTCTTTCGTTTGACATTGTAGGATTGTGTTACTTTTGCTTTGGCTGCTTGTGCTTGACAGGGCCTTGGAGAGGTTGATACTTTGGCGTTTGGAGTCTGAAATGAGGGGCATCTGCTGACTTCAATGGGCTGGAACAAATACAGTTTCTTTCAAATGAATGCTTCAAACTAGGTACATGAAAAATTGCCAGCATTACTGCTAAACTGTTCCCAATTCCAATAATTTTAAAAGTCACCAGTGCTAGGGTAAAAGATACTGCTTAGGATGGGGAAAGACTTCAAAAGAAATGTAAGACTTAATGTTTACAAATTTTGAAGTCTTACATTTCTTTTGAGGGCAACATTTAGGGATTTTTGCTGCAGAGGAAGTGGGATTATAGGATGGTTTAGCCCTGTATTATCAACACTGATTGGCAGTGGTTCTCCAGGGGTTGGTTCCTTCCTAGCCCGAGATATACAAGGAGGTGCTTTACCCCTGAGTTGCACCCCATTCCCACTCATCTGGGTCTCCCTACTCCTACCTCTTGAATCTCCCTTGAGGTGTTTTATCTGCATTCAGCCCTGATCGAAGTGTCAGGCTGCTTTGGCCGGGTAATGCAGCTTACACAGAAAGTCCTTTTTGAACGAACGAATGAACGAACGTTGCAGCTTCACAGGATGCAGACCCTGCTTCTGCTGTGGGTCGCTGATGCAACACTTCTGTACATGCAAATAGTTTGATAACCTCTTTGCTATGTTGGCCCCTCTCAAAATCCTTTAGGACCAAGAACTTTTTAATTTGCCCAAGGTTTTTAAACTTAAGTACAGTTTACTTGCTGTAGCAATTTTTAT